TATTTTGGGACTAGAAACTTCATTTTATCGGGAATTTTTGACCGTTTGTTGTGTGTGCAAGATAAGGTGCTCAGTTTGTAGACGGTTTGTGGTCCGATGCTTTATAAATCGATAGGAGAATAGAATATCAGTTTGAAAATTGGCACATCGAGTTTCTCGGAGTTCCTTTGATACGTGAAAATCAACTAAATGAATAGAGACATGATACGAATGAAGATGTTTAAAAAATATCTCTTAATTTTGTAGTTTTCTGGGATCAAAATCGTTATTTATGTCTCTATCCCATAGAAACAAGCTTCAATTCGCAACGCTGGCTATTTCGAATGAAAGAATACCACGGAAAGGGTGTCGAAATTGAAAAGGAGCGACGTGGAACGCGAAATGAAGGGGATTCTGAGTATTCACGCGTGATCTCGCGCTCGAACGTGCGAAGCTAATGGCACTCGGGCGGAAGATAAGCCCTGGTCCTCGTCCTTTCAAACGTTTCCATCCCTTTTGTCGTCGTGCCTTTTTTCCGGCTCGTATCGCTAATTGAATTTGGAAGACGAGTGTTCGAGACAAATTACGGTTTAATATAAAAGGGGAAGGTCCATCGTCAATCAACGTCCAATATAGGAACCAATATATTCCAATTGGAACAGTCTTAGACACCGAGATTCATATTTAAATCGAATAAAAATTTTCTAGGTACTTAAAACGTAGCTGATTCTTCTTTCTAATATTTAACCCCTTGTCCTGTGACATCGTATCAGACATTAATGAGATGCATTTCAAATGCGCACCGATTCTCGTGCAACGGACGGCTTTTCACGAATCAGTCGAAGTGGTTTACCTCCTGCGGAAAATTCGATTCTCGTCCTCGCCGATCGAGCGTATCCTTCGTTTTCATGGGTAAATTGTTTTCCTTTCGCCGTGCACACGAAGGACGCGACCGGTAATCGTTCCTTAACGATCCGAATTCTTTCCCCGGCTTGTACGAGGCCGTTTGAGCGTGTAACGCGTACGTTCTGGGCGGTTTGACGAAGGCAACGACCTACACCGCGCTCCGTATATGGCTCTCCCGAGGCGTTCGGGCTTCTTTCGACGCGTTCTTCTCCTCCGGCGTGTACCGCTTATTAGGAGATCCCTTCCTCCCGACGAGAGAAACCGCCCGGGGAAAAAAGATCCACGGTGAAATCGATTTTCCCGGCGAGACAGCGTTTCGCTGTTCCGGTCGTGTTCGGTCGGATTGATGCGGTTTTTAGAAAAACCCGAATATTACCGGCGTTCGAGGCGAATTGCAATTTCTCTGTGTCAGAATTTGAACTTTGCTCTTTGAAGTAATGCCAGAAAATCCGTTGAAGTCTCAAAGTATTGAAACGGAATGAAAATAAATCGAGAAAATAGAGGAATCGCGGACGATCATTTTCCCGTCGTTCCAGGTTTCGTTCCGTTCAAGCTCCGCAGCTTCGAAAATAACGAAAGAATTATACGAAACGATAGTTTAAACGTTGAATTAAGTATCCCGTACAATTCGGCGGAAAGAAACTGAAATTGTTTACACGTGGGCCGCTCGTAATCGGATCGCGATCCGGCCGGGAATATTTCAGCGAGCGCGCGCGACGTCTTAATCGCCTTAGAGAATCTGTTCACCGGGAGGAAGTCGCGGAGAGGAAAACGGGAAATCGGTTTAAACGAGCAACGACGTCGACGGCGATATCCTATTTCCACGGACGCGCGAAAACTCGAGACCGAAAGGAGATACGGCCTCGCCAGCTCGGAGAGGGCAGGCCGGGAACGCCGGGGGACTCTCGCGTTCCCGCAAAAAAAAACGTAACTAGGGTTTGCTGTCGGGGCGAAATCGAGTGGAACGAGCTAGGCTAGGGAATAGAGTTCATGGAACACTCCTTAGAGTGCCGGAAAATGGAATGAGATCCGGTAGGAGTCAAATATAGCGAGATGATGAGTCCAGTAGCCTCGGATCAGACTTCGAAGAGTAGCGTAGATTTCTGCTGTATGTGACAGAAACCCAGCAGATTCGATTAGGATCTATTATATTTAAAGTCTAGAAGGTCCAAAGATATTTAGTGACCAATGGAAACCTTTCAAACAGAATAGAATTCAGCGGAATTCATCTGAATTCTATAGAGTCTACCTAACTACTAGATCTGGAAGAAGTAAGATCCTCTAAATTCAGGTGGAGTTTAATGGAGTTTATTAAAAATACGCAATGTTTTTTAATATTTCTTCGAGTAGAAGAGTCCGTCGTACCTGGGATACCTAAACGAGACCCAAAAAACCTGTAAATATCGCGTAGTCCAAGGAAATCCCATTAAATCAGAAAGTCTCTAGCGCAGTGTATGAAGCTATTAGGTAGAGTCAGAGGTTCCAGCCGCATTCCAGAAGCGTTTGCCTTTGTTCAGCCGATTTTATCAAGATCCACTAGCTACAGAATGTAATAGAATTCCATAGAATCCCATAGAATCCCACATAATTCATGAAAAATCTCTAAATCCCGTCACAATCGATAGCAGATGTGGTTAACCACGACCTAATGAAGCGAGGTTAGAGCGTCCAGTCGATTAGGATCACGCAGCACCAAGATCAAACCGGGCATGTGGTTAATTATGATTGAACCGAAGCTCAGCGCAACGATAAGGAAGAGGCAGCCGGCTAGCCCACAATAAAATTCCTCGGTTAAACGGCGAACCGAGCGAAACGAGATGTTTCCCGCGTACTGCATCCAGCGGCCGGGCTTTAATTAAATTTCCCTTGGCCCGCCCCGGGGTGGGGGCGAATGATACATATTCAACGACGTAAGGAATTCCTTTTGGTCTTAAACGTTCTGGAAACGACCCCGATAGAACGCGCAATTTCCCACGCGATTCCGAAGCAACGCGGTCGCCGCGGGCTGCTTGATGTATCCGAGATAAACGACACGCGCGTGCGGGAAACCCTTTTATCGCGGCTGTTGCGCGCCGTTCCGCCTTTGTCATTAAATCGTCAGCGATATCTACGTTCCTAGAATCGAATTTCCGGGGTCCTTGGATAGTTTGCGGTTCTGGCTTGACGGCGGACACGTTTGATGCATTGCCTTTGGCGTGTTGTACGAGCTTTCTTAGCGTACGATAATGTTAACGAAATTGGAGTTGACTTCATCTTCTTGAATTTGAATGGATTAACGACAATTTCTTAATCTTCAATTTTCTAAGCTTCAATTTCCTAATCTTCAGTTTCCTAACTTTCTAGTTTCCAATCTTCCAACTTCCAATTGAGCTATTTCTAACTTCTCAGCTTTCAATTTTCCAGTTTCCCATTGCCCAGTTTTCAATGTCGCAGTCTCCAATTTCCCAACTCCCAATGTAGCAATCCCTAATCTTTCAGCTTTCAATCTTTCAATTCTCCAATTCCCAATTTCCCAGCTTCCAATTCTCCAATTCACAATTGCCAACAAAAAATCCCATATCACACGATTCCAGCCAGTTCCCCATTAACCCATAGATCCCCAAACACCGTCGCCCTCCCACTAATCGATCATAGGGCTCACTCGTTTCATCCCTCACAGCGCCCTTCTCAAATCCTTTGTCCGTGGGGTCCGTCGATATTTGGCAAGAACAAGCCGGCAATTTGCAACGCGCGAGAGAAGGAGGCTCGCCGTCTGCCTTCGCCCTGACGCAGGGTTCACGGTTCACCGGCCCCGTCTGCGCCCTCCTCCGCGCCCCTCGCCGCCGGTTCGGCCCGTATTAAAATGCGCCAGCATGATTCTAATAGAAGGCATTACCGGGCCGGGGCTTGGATGCAAACACGTTGTAATGTATTCATATTGGCCCCGGCGTGCTCCACGGACCTCAAAGCGAGAGGGCTCTTCCTCGGCTGTGATATTTGAATTTTAATGCGAGCCCTCTCTTCCGCCGGCCTATCCTCTGCCCCCGTTATCTCCGCCCAGTTTCATCCCCCCGTGGCAAGGATACTCGAAACCATCGCATTTTCCGCCAACAATCGCCGGATTTCCCTGGCCCGGGCTGCCTCGCTTTCTCTCCTCTCCGCGCGGAGTCGCCGAGAAAGGGGTTGCAGCCCCTTTTCGTGGAGGAGTTTTGATCCAGTCGCCGCACTGCGCGGCCGAACACCAGTTTTCTGGAGAAAACTCGACGACTTGCTCAAAAAGTGGGAAACTGAGCTATTTTATTTCAACATTTCGGGATATGTGACGAATGAAATTATTAACCTTGTTTGGAGGAAAGCCGGTGACACTTTCAGTGGCAAATGGCAAACTTTTGGGAAGGGAGAGATAAAGATAAATTCTAGGAGAAAATGGTTAATATAAGATGATAATAGAAAGTTTTAGGTTCGAAGGTCGAGAGTCCTTTAATTACAGTTCACTGATTTTCTAATCGTTCCAAAAGAACAATTCGGATTGTTTATTCATGTTCGCAGTGTTTATATCGAACAAACGACAAATTTGTAAGATCAACAGTGCTTTCGTATAGATTTCATTCGACTAAGATTCGTTAGGCACGACTTCATTAGACTTTGATTCACTCACACTGGAATTTATTGAACTATGACCCCTTAAAGTGACTTTATCGAATTTGATCTATTAAAGTGGGCTTCACCGGACTCTGGTCCATTAGTCTAGACTTCAATGAACTCTGCTCCATTAGATTAGTCTCGATCGGACTCCGATTCGCATCGCTAGATTCGACTGACCTTTGATCCGTTACGCAGGACGTTGCTTCCGAGAGCCAACATCCGCGGATACCTCCTGCATTTCGACCGATAAAAGAATCTTCTTTTCACTCACCCCTTTCCAAAAGTATGTACTCGCTTCCGTTGTTGTGATTACTATTCTCTTAAACCAACGTAATTTTAATAGATTACCGATTGTTACGCATTCAAATTTTACTAAATTAGATAAATTAGATAAATTACAATTTTTTGATCAATCTAAAGGCAAGAAAAATGAACAATCCTTAATTCAAACCTTGAAACTTTACCAAAATCATTCAATTTTTCTGTCGCAGGCGCTGAAACCGATGCCCACCGGCGCCTCCACTGTCTGAACCGGGCCACTAGTCTGATGTGAGTAAACTTTCACTGCCCTGACCCATCGGTCGTTCCGTTTCCATCGGTCAAGGGTCACAGGCTCGTTAACCGTTCGAACATACACGCCGTTACAAACAAAAAAGGAAGGAAAAACGGGTATATACCGATCGAACGGAACGATCGAGCGTGACCGTTCGCTTTTCTGCGCTGGGACAAAGGCCCAGCTTCCGGTACACGCTGCCATTAAGCCTGTTATCGCGCTCAGCCGGCTCGATCTATTGAAATTCGCCCGTGATTCGGGGTCGGCCGGCGGAATCACCGCGCCGAGCGTTCGATGATCCACCAAGAAAGGATCTGTTCCTTTCCTCTTACGGGAGCTGATCCCCTTTCGAAACGAGAAATTTCCTTATTTTTTAATTCAATCTGATCAAAGAATAACTTCGAGTTAATTACAAACAGATGAGAAGTTAACCCTTTGCACTCGAGAGGTGACTCTCAGTCACCATTTGATTTGATGCAGTAAAACTATGAAGTTAAATATTTAGTAGTTTAAATTAAACTTCATATTGTTATGTGAAATATTTAAGTAAAATATCTTTGTTGCTTAATTTATCTGAGAGTCATCGTTAAATTAGGTTCAAACGTCGTCTGTATCTCGAAAAATCTTGAATATTTCCAGTAAAAAACTTTCGAGTGCAAAGGGTTAAATGAAACCTTTGAAAAAGCTTGCGTTAAGATATTAAATAATTCTAACGATAATACTAATAATAATTCTAATTATACTGAAAAGAATGATAATAATGATAGTGGAAAATAATTGCAATAATAATGACAATTATTTAGTATCTTATTCTTTCGATATTATCAATTACAATAGTTAATTATTATTAATATTAAAATAAATTCTATGGTCATCAGTACCGCTTTCATATTAAAGAAATCTTCGTTTAAACTTACAAATTGCTCTAATATCTCGTGCGCAAGCTTCCAGGGCTTAAGATCGACATCTTTGACGGAATCTCGTTTGGTAGATCCAGCCAGTACGACACTAAAATATGATTACGAAAGTTTTCGAGTAAATTAATCGCTGCGGGTCGCGTCCGCCGGTGTGGTCATGAGAAGTGGGTCACGAAACCGCCGTAATCCTCGCGTCTACGGCTCCGACGTGATCGAAACCGGTTGAAACATACCGGCGAGGCCGGTCGGATGCGTTCGTCGGTGCAGATTTGGTCCCCTGGCTCCTCCGAACTCGGCGACAACTTCGATCCCGGTGATTTCACGTGGTGGCCGTTGCTTTCGTGATCAGTCGAGCTCCTCTTATCGTTTGTTAGGACGTGAATTCATTAATATCAGCTGCCGAGGTCGTGGGACATTTGTTTCTTCTGTTTGAAGTGTTAAAATTGCGAACGCGGTGGATAATGTGTGCCACAATGCTATTGCATAATTAATATCATAATGTATACGCGTTATTAATATCATAACGTAATTTTAATACTTCAGAACATAGAAGAAACGAACATTCCACGACCTCGGAAGCTGATGTTAACGAATCCATGTTCTAATTAACGATAAGAGAGCTCGATGCTAACTAATGATTACGATTGATTTTAATATCGTAGAAATATCGGAGTAATCACTGCGATTATCGGTACCACTTTCTTTCAGTTTAATGTGATCAAAAGGTAGCATTGAGTGCATTCTTAATAGGAAATTATTAGCAATTATGATTATCGTTTCATCATTTACTTTGTTACAATATTAGCATTCTATAATTCGAGGAGATCAACCCTTCCGTTGGCAAGCGGAACGTTGGAGGACTCAATCGGCATTACGTTATTGATATTCGATAATGTTTGTTCTTTCCCAAGTTTGTTGGTCAACCTGCAAAAGCAGCAACATATTTGTTAGTTCCGAATTGCAAGTCTTCCAAATTACTGAACTTCCAAATAATGTATTTGTTGTTTCATAATAAATTCCAACGAAACTTCAGTACTACAATATCTGTTGTATCGTGACAAACCTAAATCACGATACTTGATTACATTAATTTCTAAAGTAGAAAATTTACCATCAGAATATTCAACGATCCAGAGTAATCTCACCGAATTTCCACGAATCCAAAGCGAATGTTATAAAAACAACGAAGAAACGAAGTTGCTAACATAAGGAACCCTTTGACGACGATTCTAAAGGGAACCTTTCGCAGATTCTGCGAAATTAGATATCGAATGCTTAAATAATAAAGAATAAGGGAATCATATGCTTCTCTTGCTGTTTGATTAGTTAAAATCTTATAAAAAAAAACTAAAACCACGAAGTTTCTAATATAAGGATTAACCCTTTGACGACGATTCTAAAGTGTGCAGATTCTGTGAAATTAGATATCGAATGCTCAAATAACACAGAATAAGGGAATCATATACTGGTTTCTTGCTGTTTGAGTAGTTAAATCGTTTTCTCGCAACCTGATATCCCTAATACGAAAGTTTCATCCCGGTAAAACGTCGACGTTCGTTCGCGAAGGGTTAATAAATTAGTGTCGAACGATCCCCGGGGTGTACGAGGTGAGTCTTGACTAATCAGCTACGAGGCGTTTCAAACTTAATTAGACCGAATGTTCCGAATGAATCGTTGCTGTCGCGGATTCGGGGAAGAAGGCCGGATTCACGGTTCAATTAGAAGCGGCGCGAGCGAATTTAATTACGGCCGCCTAAGGAACGCTTAACGTTTGCCAACAACACTCACTGTATCGTTGGCGCGCCCCGCTCGCCGCCATAATTATGATCGCGACAATGCTTCCGCCGTGTTTCACCGGCGATGGTGGCCCCCTTTGTGTTCGACCCGAACGACCTGACCCTACGCGACCCGACCCGGGGCAGGGCAGGTCGTTTTTCGTTGTCCCGTTAATTAAGGGGAACGATGGAAAAACATCATTTTCTCTTTTCCCCGGTTTTTCGAGGTCCGCGCGTGACGCAAATGAGTTAGCCGGGTAATTGCCGTGGAAAATCGAGCGGGGTTGCTTTTTCCAACCCCGAAAGCGGCTGACCCCTTTGTCTTTCGGTTGGCCAATGGGAATTAACGAGCTACTTGCCGGCTACCCGAGGCTAATGGTGATTAAATTTGGATTAATGGCGTCTTGATGGTGCTTTGAACATATCTTGCTTGCATCTTCAGCCATTACACTGGATTTTATTGGACTACGGTCCATTAGATTGGACTTTATCGGACTCTGATCCATTGTATTTGATTTCATTGTAGATCCATTGAAGGATCCATAGGATTAGATTCAATCAAATTTCATTACAGATGCATCTCCAGTTGCATTGTTCCTTTCCAGATTTCGATCCATTAACTTCAAACTTCAATCCACCAAGAATTCACTATACTCTGATTCACAAACTATTCCACATCGAATCCAAAACCATTGTCATCCACGATCGGTTCCATTTAATTCCACTTCACCATCCCCTTTAGAATCCTCATTTCCACAGGAAATCGCGATCTACTAGGCCGAATCCGATTGGATCCTAGTTTTCCTTATCGAATCCACATGAATTTAATGAATTCCGTCAGATCCTACCGTGCCTCTTCCGATCGATTCCACAGGATCCAGCGCTGCTCGATCGTAAAGGACTCGACCGACCCGGGATCCACGATGTTAGACCGCGATCAGTTTCTAGAGCGGCGGACGGGGCGAAATAGCAGTTAAAATTAATGAAAAGAATGGATCGGCTTCGACGGAAGCTTAGAAAGCAACGAGAGCGCGCTTTCGGTCGGTCGGAGAACCGAAGGGCTTTCTCTCGAACGAACCCAATTAGCGGCCACCCCCCGCCCCTGTCCCTTTTCAAGTTTCCGCCAGCTAATTTCACCCGTTCCGCTGGCCCCCCTTTTTTTTCCTCCGCGACGTATTTACCCGGAAAATAATGAGTGGGGGTCTCGTTATTTCTTTCCGAGCTGCTCGTTCCTTCTCCACCGTCGTCTCCCTCGCAACCCTCTCCCGCAGGAACACCGGGCAAGATCACGGGAATATCGGACCGTCCCGCGGCGCACCGGGTAACTGGCCGGGTCGACACGGGATTCGTATTGGTCTCGTTATGTTTATTATTATCCGTATTCTTTGGTTCTTTGTTTAGCCGTTACCGATATTCTACCGGTACGATCGTCAGACGAATTTTCGAGGGTTGTCGCTCTCGAGAATTACTATATTTGTAGCGTATATTCCTTTTCATTTGAGTTACGGGGATCAGTGGTTATTATCTAATGTTCGATGATATTCAAAGTATTAATAATAATAGTAGTAGTAATAGTAATAGTAACACTAATAGTAATAGTAGTGATTAATAGCTGATAAAATAATAATAATAACAACAACAACAGTAATAGTAGCAGTAATAGTAATAGTAACAGTAATAGTAATAGTAGTGATTAATAGCTGATGAAATAATAATAATAATAATAACAACAGTAATAGTAATAGTAATACTAATAGAGATAACTAATAGCTAATAAAACAACAAATGAGAATTAATAGAATAATAAGATGTGAAATAATAAAATACTAATTACTAGCAGACAGAATAACAACTTGAATAGCATTCGAGAATATTCATATCAACTTCTCCACAACTATAATGAACATAATTTTGTTCCTTAAAAGGAATGCTATCGTTAGATTTCATCGTTCCCCGGCTCGGAGAACACTAAGAGCCACTAAGAATCGCGAATGACCCATTCTTATGTAGATCCAGAGCGAAGATCCGACTCGAACCGAGCCGCTCCCCGCCGAATCCAATCAAACTCTCTCTTAGCGAGGCTAATCGTCAAGCCTAATCACGATTACGCTAAACGGCGCCGTTCTAAGGAAGCCTGGAAGGCGAGATTCGGCGGCGAGCCGCAATTTCTAGGCCAAGTAGAACGGCTTTTATCTCGGCGTGATATTTCACGACCGCGGCCGCGTTTCGTTCGTATGCGCCGATCGTTTGCGCAATCGTGCTCCCCTCGAACGATCGAGAGAAAGAGAACGAGAGTGGGACCGT